TACTGACACAAAGACAGAAATATAGATCAATGGAACAAAATAGAAAGCCCAGAGATAAATCCCAGCACCTATGGACACCTTATCTTTGACAAAGGAGGCAAGAATATACAATTGAGTAAAAATAATATCTTTAACAAGTGGTGCTGTGAAAACTGGTCAACCACCTGTAGAAGAATGAAACTAGAACACTTTCTAACACCATACACAAAAATAAACTCAAAATGGATTAAAGATCTAAATTTAAGACCAGAAACTATAAAACTACTAGAGGAAAATGTAGGAAAAACACTCTCCGACATAAATCACAGCAGGATTCTCTATGACCCACCTCACAGAGTAATGGAAATATAAGCAAAAATAAACAAATGGGACCTAATTAAACTTAAAAGCTTTTGCACAACAAAGGAAACTATTAGCAAGGTGAAAAGACAGCCTTCAAAATGGGAGAAAATAACAGTAAAGCAAGCAACTGACAAAGAATTAACCTCAAAAATATATAAGTAGCTCATGCAGCTCAATATCAGAAAATTAAACAACCCAATCAAAAAATGGGCCAAAGAACTAAACAGACATTTCTCCAAAGAAGACATATAGACGGCTAACCAACACATGAAAAGCTGCTCAACATCACTCATTATCAGAGAAATGCAAATCAAAACCGCAAAGAGATACCATCTTACACCAATCAGAATGGCTGCCATCAAAAGTCTACATACAATAAATGCCAGAAAAGGTGTGGCGAAAAGGGAACCCTCTAATACTATTGGTGGGAATGCAAACTAGTACAGCCACTATGGAGAACAGTGTGGCAATTCCTAAAAAAACTGGAAATAGAACTGCCATATGACCCAGCAATCCCACTGCTGGGCATACACACTGAGGAAACCAAAACTGAAAGAGACACATGTACCCCAATGTTCACTGCAGCACTGTTTATAATAGCTAGGACATGGAAGCATCCTAAATGTCCACTGGCAGAGAATGGATAAGAATGCTGTGGTAAATATACACAATAGAATATTACTCAGCTATTAAAAAGAACACATTTGAATCAGTTCTAATGAGGTGGTTGAAACTGGAGCCTATTATACAGAATGAAGTCAGAAAGAAAAACACCAATACATTAACACATATATATGGAATTTAGAAAGATGATAACAATGACCCTATATGTGAGAAGCAAAAGAGACAGAGATATAATGAAGACTTTTGGAGTCTGTGGGAGAAACCGAGGGTGGGATGATTTGAGAGAATAGCAATGAAACCTGTCTATCACCATATGTGAAACAGATCGCCAGTTCACGTTCGATGGATGAGACAGGGCACTCAAAGCCAGTGCCCTGGGACAACCCTGAGGGATGGGAGCGGGAGGGAGGGAGGGGGCAAGGGGGTTCAGGATGGGGGACACATGTATACCCATCTGAGTCATGTCAATGTATGGCAAAAGCCACTACAATATTGTAATGCAATTAGCTTCCAATTAAAATAAATAATTTTTAAAAAAGAGAAGAAAGGATAATATCTCAATAGATGTCTTTGGTAACTAAATGAGATAATGGTACTTTGGGGCTAGGGAAGTTGCAAGTGATTCTTGGTTTTTTTGTTTCAAAGTATTTTATCATTGGGAAGTACATCTTTTTCGGAACAAATTTTAACTCAGAAACTATGTAAGCTATCTTTTAATCATATATCAATGCTTACCAAACATGCTGTTCAGGTTAAATGTTGTTTCAGTTATTAAAAAAAATCCTGTTACCTAATATAATCACAAACCTTGATGGAGCTGAGCTGTTTTTACAGATACATTAACTGGTCTCTTTTATATATAAATTTGAGAACCACTGTCCAAAATAAATGCTGCAGAGCAGTTTCACTTAGTGGTTAATTTGCAGGGGTGGTGGTGAGGGAGTGAGTGGCACCCCACTTTTGAAAGCAGTAAGTACATGGGATTTATTTTAAATTCAGATAGAAAAACAGTTAATGATGTATAAATAAAACTATGCTTTACAGTTATAATTACTTCAAAAGTAGTTATATCTAAATAACTTGGCAAAATGCTTTAACAATTACAGAAGCATGATTTTGACAGATGGCAATATTGTTAGACAATGAGAATTGTTAAAAAATACGGATATCTCCTCCTGTTTTACAGTGCTGCAAAATGAAGGTAATGAATTGATATTTTCAGTTAACATAAGTAGTTCACAATAAAGCATTCTAAATCTTAACAGTTTTGGAAGTGCAAATCTAAGATGATAATATCCATAACCAAATTATTGAATCTTGGTAAATTAAACAGTACTCTGTATAACAATGAAAACACTTTTGTTGGAGTCTATTACTTTCATGATAATATTCACTAAAAAACACCATATTTTATTTCAGTGGCTTATTAGCAAAGACACTTAACTTATATAAATTAAATGGCCTTTAAAATTTTACAATGCCCTTCTTTGACAGGCAATTACTTCATGCAAGCTGATTCAGTTAAATACAACACAGCAGCAGTGAGTGAATCTACTTCATTCTAGCACTAATCCAAAAGTTCATGCATGAAAAGTTCTAAAATTCTATAGTAAGTAAAGTCGACATGTGAACATCAATTTCAAACTAACGTTTAAAATATTGTTATGTTGGTACTTAAGGAGTACAAGCATCAATATTAGTCATTTCAACTAACATTCATTCCTCATGATCCCTTTTATTTTTAATCCCTATACCACTCTTTATGTTATTTTTTTTTTTCTGTTGTTTCTTTTATTTGAATTCTTTGCACTTCTAGTTTTGATCAAGAACCACATGCCCTTTCTTCGGGTCTTTTTTTTTTTCGGCTGTGCCTTGGGGCTTGTGGGTGCCATCCAGGGATGGAACCTGGGCCATGGCAATGAAAGCACAGAGTCCTCACCACTAGACTGCCAGGGAATTCCCCACATCCTTATTTTTTATTTAAAAGAATTAACCTGACATGTATGTAATAATAAATACACACAAATACAACATGAAGTTGGAAAGACCCATGGAGCCTAATGTTTCATGGCAATATTCACTTCTCTAAAATCCTGCCACCATCTTTGGTATTCTTAGGTTTCCTCTGCTGAAGCTGTTGAGTTCCTCAATCTTGGCATTTTTGTCACTAATTCCTTTACTTCTCAGCATTTGAAGAAAACACATTTGACAAATACAGTACCTCAAGTTATTTGTTTTGTAATTATATCTTGTATCTATTGAACCTTAATTTCAAATGTCAGTAGATTTAAGTTTCATTGTTCTCTCTTAAATCGAATTCAGTATTCTTACATATGTTTTGGTTCATTTTGCATCATATATGACTTAACAATGAAAGGCATCCCCCATTCTATACCGAGAAGCCAATGGCCATGTAACTTTCTAGTGGAGTCTATACTCTGTCTAGTACATCAACTCCAAACACAACTGGGTTCATAGGATTTGGGGAGTGTTGCACTTCCAAGAGTTGCACCAGTTTCCTACAGACGGTTGGTGTTCTCTGAAGTCCAGATCCTTGTGATAGCACGCAAGGACAAGAAGGCAAAGAAACAACAGCTGACTCCACACTCTACTCCTTAACCCCTAGCACTTGCTAGTTCTGCACTTTTGTTTTTGTGTTTTAGGAGAGATTTAGCCAGAAGTTTGAAATGCCTAAAAGTACTCCTGTGGAAATCAGAAGTATGAAGTTGGATATAACTGCAATTACTTTAAAAAACAGAAGTATCAAAGCTGAAAATAAAGGTTTAGAATTCAATAGTATATAGCTGGTACTGAAGGCATGAGACTAGATAAGCTTATAGAAAGAAAAAGGGAAAGCAAGGACAAGAGTAGAGGCGAGGAGGTGGAACAAGTGAAGGAACCTGAGGAGGCAGGTCCAGTGAGACAGGAGGAAAAATCAGGAAAATGGCTTCAGAAAGGCCAAGAGAAGCAAATACCTTAGGAAGATAGAAGTAGACAACAGTGACAAATGCAGCTGAGATGAGATGTCACAGAAGATACAAGTGGAGAAAAGATCACTAGCCTTTATAAAAGAGCCACTGGTGACTTTGCCAAGAGCCAGAATGGAGAGTTCTCTATAGAGACAGCATGTAGGGTAGGCAAGTGAAGACAAAGCTTACAAATGATTCTTAGGTCAGGACCTGCATATACAGAGTGATCCTAAAGGAAATTATACACAGAATACTTTCATTATGAAAGTAATAAACACACCAGGGCACCCTATTTTCATTAATTACTCTGCCCAAGAGAATAAGTGAAGGGGCAACAACTAAAAAAGTGGCTAGATTTCTTTTCCAGTTCTTAAGTGTCAACTGAGAAACTGGAACATCTGTAAGGAAACAATTTTACTCCATTCTCACTCATCAATATGGGCAGATGAAGCCTAGTAACACATGGGGTGGCAGAGAGCAGGAGTTCATTCAGTATCAAAGAAGTGGATGGGCAGTTACATAAGTGAAATCCCATAGGTCCTTATTAGCTCATGTGCTTAATTTTCTGGGTGGTTTTGAAGACTTAATGGTGAGAGGTACGTGAAGAGTTTCCAACACAATATCTAGCACGTGTCTGGTATTCATTTTTCCAGTTCTTGGTACATCCAAAAACGATCTCCACATTCAAGTTCAATGATGAGAAAGAATACCTATTGTTTAGCAAGATACTGAAAGATGCTTCTTCACCCAAATCCTGACAGCTAAATCTCCATTAAGCCAGGCTTCTAAGGCTCACTGCACCGTAATTGTCATGGCATCTGAGTCCTTCCATTTCTGTAAGTACCTCCAATAGATTCTATGGACAAGAGGCATCATGAAGACAACTTTGAAACAAGCAAGCAGACAGGCAAACTCCAGCCACCCCATCAGCTGCTTTGTTAGCAAGGTTCCCCAATGTGTAAAGTGAAAACTGAAATGGGGGAGAAGGGAACAGAACAGAGTCAGAGAAACATGACCCAAAGTAAAAATCATCTCTGTCTGGAGCTCACAAAAGATCTGGGTTACCGTCGGCTGCAAACTGCTGCTCTCCTGGCTGCAAGTCTTGCCGGAAGTCATTCTCCTCATCTGAGTCATCTGGGTGATGGTGATTGTTGTCGTGGATGTTGGCATTATTCTGGGCATTATTATCATTGTCATTGTTGGAGTTCTGATTGCTAACAAGGGCCGAGGAAACCCCAATTCCTGTGCCTGCACTCAGACCAACCCGAGCACAGCCCTGAAGCAAGACAAAACCACATGCTTATTAATTTGGGTTAGAATAAAACAATGCAGTTTTAATATTCCTTCATTTCATCTTTACATAGAATACTTATATAGCACTTTATGAAATACTTTCACCTATTCATAAAGAACCTCATTTAAGGTCCACAACAGCTCAAGCAAGACAAAGTTATTAGTCTTGATTTACAGATGATGACATGCACAATGTGAAGGGATCTGCCCAACAGTGCATGACCAGTATGTGATAGAGCTGAGACTTGAAATCCAATAATTTGTCCTCAAACCCTGAGCTTTCCCTACTATACGGCACTGCTTCAACAGTGAGGGTATAAGCATTAAGAACTGACGAGAACCTAATTCGTTGAAACATTAAGTTTCTATTGCAATAAGTTAAGTTTCTACATACATTAAGAAGTTTTAAAATAACATTTTGTACAACTGGGCAACTTCAGATTTCCCCAGATATCTAACTGAATAGCAAAAGTAGCAGCAAAAGAAAACATCCAAAATAAGTTCCTAATCCTTACTTAGATGCTGGGTTGCTAGTTAGAGATCTAATCTTTCAACTAACTACTCTAAGTAATAATTTTTGCTTTAGCTCAAATTTCCACTTTTGCTCTTACATTAACTTTATAAACCTGATGGAGATAGCTTTCCACTTACTTTTTCCTTTATCTGGAAACCCCTTAGTACTCACTCACAAGAACATGTGGCCATTCATTATTATAACCTTTATGCCTTCCTTCACGGAGGTTGGCAGTAAAAGTCAAATTATATCATTTGTAAAGGCATATCATTAGGGAAAAAATTACTTAGGTTGTTTTCTTGAGTAAAAAACTCTTTCAAATGCGACTTACTTTGGGTGGTTCACGAAACATTTGGTCCAGTGAAATAAACTCCAAGCTAGGCAATAATTCAATAAACTGGCCAAAGGAGTCCAGCTTCAAAGCATGGCAACGTACTAAGTTGATATCAACCAATCGAGTCCACCTTGAGTGGTCTGTTGAAGAAATGACATGGCCAGAGAAAATATGTAACTAACACTTTCTCCATTACTCATGAATTTTGCCATAGGTCACAAAGACTTTCCAACCCATTTTCTTTGTGTAAATTTTATCTTATTTCATGATCTCTAATACTTAATGACTCTAAACTATGATGTCTCCTTACCCAATTTCATGAGAACCAGATGGACTAGAAATCGTTAACTTCAAAGTAAGTCTGTCTTTGTTTAAATGTGATTCACTTAAAACCTACATGCCTATTTAACTACAGGACACTAGTTAAAAGAAATGTTGGTGTATTCCTTTAATAAAACATTACGCAGCTACTAAAAGAATGAAGAACTGAATAAGCTTGCTAATATGGAGAGCTCTCCAAAAATTCTCAGTGCAAAATACAAGTTACAGGACAATGTATATACATAGTAAGGTCCTTATGTATACATAAATCATTTTTAAATGCTATACATGTATAGGCTGCAAATGCACAAAATAACCTGTCCAGAAGAATATACGAGAAACCATTGATGGTGGTTACCTTTGAGAAGAGGAGGCCTTTCATTTTGTACCTTTCTGTACTGTTTATCAAGTGCATGTATTACTTTTAGTTTTTAAGTGTTAACAGGAGTTCTGAGTGATGTGATTATAGGCCATTTTTTATTTTCTTCTTTATACTCTTCTGTATTTAAGAAAACAAACAAACCAAAAACCCAATAAATGTTATTTTTTTAAAGTGATCTATGCCGGCTACAACCTAAAATTTGTACTTTCCAATAGCTTTCTGGTGCAGCTGGGCAAGGGGTAGAACTTCTTCTCATGGGTGAGACATGGCCATTCTAATGAGTGATCTCAGCAGAGGCTCAGGAGCCTTGCAACACGTCTGGAGGTGGGTTTTGTGTGGAGCTGTAGTATCCCTGTGTGGTGGCTCAGACAGCTGTCAGTGGTGGTTCGCAGCTGTCAGTGAGAGGGCCTGGTTTGGTACGAGGATGTCAAAATGAAACGTCTCTAGCTCTAACTTTATTAAAGGCTTGTGAATTTAGATATTTAGGAAGTGCCTTAAAAAAAAATAAACAGCATTACTCCCTTAGGGGGGCAGGGGGAATAAAACTCCTCTCATAAGAAAAATACCAAGTGCAAAAGTCACACTTCTGTACCCAAGGGATCAGGCAGGGAGATATCATCTGAAGTAGCCTAAAATTTTAAGGTAATAGAAAATTTCACTACATGTTTAGTATGTCACCTAATTCAAGTTTTTAAAATACATACCTACTTTGTTCAGATGATATGCCATTTTAAGGTAACACAGAGAAAACAACCATAATATCCCAGACAACAATTCCTAAGCTTAATTTTACGTGCCCAGCCCAAAGAAAAACACATAATAATTAGCGTGACTGAATCTATTATCTCGACAGTGCAAATTTCTAGGCAGAGAATCTCAGGAGTTCAAAGAGGCGTTGCAAGTATTTCCAACTCAGTTATCAAAGGTTCCCAGAGCCTCTATGAACAATCTATATAAAAATCTACATTTTACATGAGGAATGTTAATTAATTCCATACAGAAAACAAAGATATGTATTATTTTGACATCAATAAAATATAGCTGTATTTAAGATACAGTACCTGAGATCCAATTGTATGGGTTATGTAGATGGGGGCAATTATAAATTGCCAGATATTTGATACAGGAGAAAACTTCATTGACTGCCTTCATCCCTATATCAGTGATAATACCAGGATTTTCCACCACATCAGCCAAACCATACTTCACCAGATCTGCATTAGCCATTCTGCCTAGAAAGAGATTTAAAAAACAAAAAAGATTCTTAAGTGTCATGGAATCTTGACAACTTAAATTGTCAACTCTTTAACATCCAGTATGATTACTCTTTATGATCATCCTGCTTCATCTGTCCATCGTCAGGTTCAGATACAATCTTAGGTTAGGTATTCTGTACAAACGGTAGCCTTTATTTTGCAAAATAAAAATTTATGTTAAAAGTTAAGGGAGTGAAGTAAGCCAGAAAGATAAAGACCATTACAGTATACTAATACATATATATGGAATTTAGAAAGATGGTAACGATAACCCTATATGCAAAACAGAAAAAGAGACACAGATGTACAGAACAGACTTTTGGACTCTGTGGGAGAAGGCGAGGGTGGGATGTTTCGAGAGAACAGCATCGAAACATGTATATTATCTAGGGTGAAACAGATCACCAGCCCAGGTTGGATGCATGAGACAAGTGCTCAGGCCTGGTGCACTGGGAAGACCCAGAGGGAGCGGGTAGAGAGGGAGGTGAGAGGGGGGGATCGGGATGGGGAATACATGTAAATCCATGGCTGATTCATGTCAATGTATGACAAAAACCACTACAATATTGTAAAGTAATTAGCCTCCAACTAATAAAAATAAATGGAAAAAAAAAGTTAAGGGATAGCTAGCAGATTATTTTCAATAGTCTAGAAAAGGAAAAAAAGAATGTGAAGTCTTAAAGCAAAACTGATGGATACATTGTACTGGTTTACACTTATGGTGAAGTTTTATTAGCTTTTAAAAAGAAAAATAAAATCTTCAAAATGTAACTCTCTGGGACTTCCCTGGTGGCCCAGTGGTAAAGAATCCACCCTGCAATGCAATGGATGTGGCTTTGATCCCTGGTTGGGGAAAGAAGATCCTACAAGCCATGGAGCAACTAAACCCACATGCCACAACAGCAGAGTCTGTGTGATGCACTGAAAGATCTCGCATGATGCCATGAACAACAATTTAGACCCGATTTAGACACAGCCAAAGTAATTATTTAAAATGTAACTCTTTCACTCTATAAGGATAATGTTTTTCAAATCAGGTGTGGCCATGTGCAGAGAAGAGTGAATTTTGAGAATTTGGATCCATTTTTAGATCTACAGTATTGGTTAGTAAATATTTATACCTTAGAGAGTGGACTTTAACTCAAACACACATATCCATTCTCTCTGTCCTTGGGCTTTAGGGTCTACTGTCTTGTCAGAGAGTAGGGGCTGGGTTTAGTAAAAAATGATCCGCCAGTCTAGATTATGCCACTGGATATCACACTGTGTCCCTTGCTTCCTATTATTATTCCTGCCACCTGCCTGACCTTTACTCTATAGGATGGTCCACTTTACTACGAGCAATCTGAAGGAAAACTAGAATCTGCCTCGTTAGTTTACAGTTACACTTTCAATGTATAATACTGGGATATTTCCATCATAATACTGGGATATAGGAAACCAATAAATGTCTCTCACAATCCCAGCAATCAAAACTGACACAAACTACAAAGAAAACACTGTTGCTCTGGTGAAGCTGTCCTGCCCATTACTGGGATTTACTCCCAACTCTTTTAAATTTCTCTTTCCATATAATTCATTGTCTTGCTCCTAGGGCCCCTGTTTTTTGTATTTACTGCCATTCTTGGACATTTCACCTTAACCAATTCTTCATAATTTTGCTGAGAAAATTGATACTTTTTGAACTGTGGTGTTGGAGAAGACTCTTGAGAGTCCCTTGGACCGCAAGGAGATCCAACCAGTCCATCCTAAAGGAGATCAGTCCTGGATGTTCATTGGAAGGACTGATGTTGAAGCTGAAACTCCAATACTTTGGCCACCTGGTGTGAAGAACTAACTCACTGAAAAGACCCTGATGCTGGGAAAGATTGAAGGTGGGAAAAAAAGGGGACAACAGAGGATGAGATGGTTGGATGGCAACACTGACTCAATGGACATGAATTTGAGTAAACTCTGGGAACTGGTGATGGACAGGGAGGCCTGGTGTGCTGTGGTTAATGGGGTTGCAAAGAGTTGAACACAACTGAACAACTGAACTGAAAGAATTTAAAATACATAAATTCTAATTTATGTATTTAGAATACAAAAAGAACTAATACTAGTGAGAAAAAGTCAGACACAATAGGAAAAATAGGAATACTCCTGGTAAAGACTTTGTTCTTGCCCTGTGAACTATAATTTGCCTTTTCCCTATGATCAGGTTCATCTTGAATTGATCCCAAGTGGGTGTTTCCAGCATTACTGCTGCAGCCTAACATGATAAATCCATGTCTTACATTCATTCCTTTCAGACCTGTTCCTATTTTTAGGGTCTCCTGATTGTCACACTTCTTCACAACCCTGATCACATCACCTAGGACTAGATTCTTTTTCCTTCAGCCAGAGGTCAGCTAGAAGTAAAAGCTACCAGTTACTGAACTTTTTTTTTTTTTGAGATTTATGTATTTTACTTATGGCTGCACTGGGTCTTCTTGCTGCACACAGGCTTTCTCTAGTTGTGGTGAGCTACTCTTTGTTATGGTGCTTTGAACTACTCTGAGTGAGGACTCCTCTTTGTTGCGGTCCATGGGCTTCTCATCGTGGTAACTTCCCGTACAGCACAGGCTCCAGGGCACTTGGGCTCCAGCAGTTGTGGCTCGAGGGCTTCAGAGTGCTGGCTCAGTAGTTGTGGCATACAGACTTAGTTGCTCAGAGGCATGTGGGATCTTCCTGGACCAGGGATTGAACCTACATCCCCTGCACTGGCTCTTTACCACTGAGCCACCAGGGAAGCCCTACTGAATGCTTTCTAAGTGTAAGAGATTATAAAAGTCCATGTTTTCTCACTTGTCAAATGGATATAAGACCATTTTCTACTTTTTTATTGGATGATTTGAAGCCAAGAAATGATTTGCCCCAGGTCCCATGAGTAATAAAATTCCATCTCATTCCTTCTTTCCAAAGTCCCAGCACTAAAGACTATTCTATACTTCTCCTGAATCTGAATGAGTTTTACACCCCAACCTTCCCACAAAGCTCTGAAATCATGAATCCATGTAAACAAAGGACCCCTCTCTAAGTATTCATCCTTGGATTACTTTTCTTACATTCCTAGTACACAGCATCTACTTTTCAGCACATCCATTTCCCCAACCTGGCACTGCCACTTTTACCATAAACGTATGGGGACAAAGGTGATATTTCTATATTTTGCCAGAATCTCTGGAACAAAGAACTGATGTAAGTTTTACCAGGAGCCACCCCAACCTCCTGGAAAGATGTTTCAAAATCTAAATGGCTGAGAGGCAAGAGATAAAGTGACAGAGTGTAAGCAGTGACCTGTAATCTCTCTATGTTTGTTAGAGGCACCTGGCAGCCATTCTCATACAGAGAATCCCAGACTTAAACTTTGGAGTAACAGAGGAAAGTACATATATAAGGAGAAATGGGTGAACTGTAGCAAATATGAAGAATGACTTATAAAAGGATAACTAAGAGATTATTAAGTATAAAGAAGACTATGAAATAAGCTATGTTGCAAAACATAAGATAATAGTAGTCAAAAAGTGAAGTGTTTTCAAATGAAAGTGTGTGTTAAGGGGAAACAAACACTACTGAGAAATAGCCGGTTATAAAGACAATTCTCAGTGGACCTAAAATATAGTCATCATCAAATGACTACACAAATTTCATCAAGTTTTTAGCTTTTAGGAAGAACAAAAACAAGACTTCAGAAAAAACACCAATTACCAATAATAACTTTAACTATTACTATTAACTTAAAATTGTAAGTTACAATATAGTAATATATGTAACATATTTTCAGTTCCTATATAATAACTTAAAATTATTAGCTTAACAAAATTAAGCTAAAGCTAATAATTTTCTGTTACTATATACACTTGTAGAAACAGAGAATGTTAGCAACTTCACTGAAAAAGGAAAAACAGTCATATTGTTTGATCTGGATTGTCTTAAGAAATCAAGGTTGCTGAGAGAAATCTCAGATATGCAGATGATACCACTCTAATGGTAAAAAGGTGAAGAAGAACTAAAGAGCCTCTTAATGAGGGTTAAAGAGAGTGAAAAAGCTGACTTGAAACTCAAACGTTAAAAAACTAAGATCATGGCATCTAGTCCCATCATTTCATGGCAAATAGAAGGGGAAAAAGTGGAAGCAGTGACAGATTTTATTTTCTTGGGCTCCAAAATCACTGTGGATGGTGACTGCAACCCTGAAATTAAAATATCCTTGCTCCTTGGAAGAAAAGCAATGACAAACCTAGACAGTGTATTCAAAAGTAGAGACATCACTTGGCCAACAAAGGTCCATATAGTCAAAACTATGGTTTTTCTAGTAGCCATGTACAGACATGAGAGGTGAACCATAAAGGCTAAGTGTTGAAGAGCTGATGCTTTTGAACTGTGGTGCAGAAGACTCTTGAGAGTCCCTTGGGCTACAAAGAGGTCAAACCAGTCAATCCTAAAGAAAATCAACTCTGAATATTAACTGAAAGGACTGATGCTAAAGCTCTAATAATTCTGGCCACCTGATGCAAAGAGTCGCCTCACTGAGAAAGACCCTGATGCTGGGAAAGACTGAAGGCAAAACAAGGGGGCAGCAGAGGATCAGCTGGTCAGACAGTATCACTGACTCAATGCATCTGAGCAAAACTCCAGGACATGAATTTGACCAAACTCCAGGAGACAGTGGAGGACAGAGGAGCCTGGCATGCTGCACTCCATGGGGTTGTAAAGAGTTGCCCATGACTCAGCAACCAAACAACAAAAACAACAAAGCCCTCATGTTGTTACAATGCAAATTAGATCCAAAGAAAAAACGCCACCTATGACACTGAGATTTTAAGAAAGACTTGTTATAAGTTACATGAGTAAGAAACCAATTCTTGCAAAAATAAAAACACGCTGATGGTGTAAATGTTCTTGCATGTCTGACTACTGTCATGTGGGAAAAAGTTTGAATGCTGAACTGACATGCATTCAAACCCAAAGGATTGAGTTCCCAATTTTAAATACATTCCAGAAAATGCTGTGAACAAGCCTCCCAATAGCAGTTATCATTAAATGAATACTGATCAAAATATGCTAACACTATCAGAAAATCCAGAATCCCCAGCGGGCTTATTATGAAAATGAAGAGCAGGGGTAGGGCCTGGGACCTCATCTGAGAGGACCATCAAAAGCTTCAAGAAGTATGGTAGATCAAATTCAGCGAACAGAAGCAAGGATGACATTCTGTGAAAACAATGAAGTAGAATGGGAAAGAAACTTGGGGAGCAAAGTGGAGATAATATCAAATGTAGGTAAGGATCTTTTTTTGGGTAGACAACCACTTCATTTTCTGCAATATGCTAAAATCAGAGGCAATATAGGAAAAAAAAAAATCACTGGCACTTCAAGTTCAAATTTTTCAAGAAGTGAGAGCACCTGAGATTTTAAGCATTTTTATGCCTAAGAAAATAATGGCACATCCAAATTTAGGGTTCACTTTGTCAAGTAAGTTCCCAACAATAATTTTAGGGGAGTAAATGAGCTAATTCTTACTCTGCAGCAAAAACTCATCTACATATCCCAGATGAAGGGTTTCAAACTGGGGGAATTCCAACTCTGCCATCTTTAAGGCGGAAAAGACGCCATCTTTGGTTAGGGAAGGCTGGATCCGAACTTCATGTAACCTATGAACAAGAGACACATAAAGGAATAAAATGAAAGCCATCAGAATAGAAGACTCTTCCTAATGTAAGTCTCTGAAAGAAGTTTATCGTACCGAAGTGTCAAATGCAAAAACACTGCCTCCTCCATGAAAAAAATATCAGAAATGCTTCCTTTAAAAGAGCATTTTATAAGTGAGGGCACATCTCATGTGTATACTAAAGTCACAGTAAGAATGAATTATAATAATCTTATATCCTTTTTGGTAATTTCCTAAACCTGATTAAGTCAAGGCAAGAAACTGGTATTTCTTTAATACCTTTTAGAGGCTAATATTATGTCCCATTTTTAACAAAGAATATAGTCCTATAGTAGGTAACAATATCTATTCTCTTAAACACAGATTTATACTCTTCATATTCTATGATGGAAAGGAAGAGTTTGATTTTTTAAAATTCAATTTAAATATTATAAAAGTAAAAGCAGAGGTAGACTATTGATATGCAGGAAATAGTAAATATGTCATCAAGTGATGTGAAGACAGGTTAAAAATTTAAAAGTGTTAAAGGTCAGTATGCTGAAAAAGCTGACTTAAAACAGTGGTTTCTAAACAGCAATTATCACCAACTAAAACAATTCAGAAAACTGTCCCGAGGGTGAAACAATGGCTCCTGAGCAAGTATCAGTACTGACTTCTGTTGGAATCTCAGGCACTTCCAGGTAACTGGCAGCTTTTCTCTGATGAGATCATGCCCATGTTAACACTTGCTGGGTCTGGAGCGCAGCTCAGTTGGTCATCAGTTGTATAGAAGACTTCCCCTAAATGATAACCTACTGCTATTTAAACAACTTCTCTGTATTTTAAATCTGAAAAAGTCATATCAAACATCATGTATATATTCTGCCAATTTTTATAAAACAGAAAAAAACACAGTTCTGACCCAATGTGAAAAGAAAACATACCTACGGGCAGCAGTGATGATGAGGTAACCAAGATCTACTTCAAGTGCATTTTTACAAGCTCCCAAAACAATAGTGTGCAAATTTCGAAAACCACCTAGTTAAAGGCAAAAAGGAACAAAAACAATTATCATCCCATTTGACCATAGCACTTTCTTTTTCTTTTTTCATTTAATTTTATTAGTTGGAGGCTAATTACTTTACAATATTGTGTTTTTGCCATACATTGACTGAATCAGCCATGGATTTACATGTGTTCGCCATGCTGATCCCCCCCTCCCACTTCCCTCCCCATCTCTTCCTTTTGGGTCTTCCCAGTGCACCAGCCCTGAGCACTTGTCTCATGCATCCAACCTGGGCTGGTGATCTGTTTCACCCTTGATAGTATACTTGTTTCAATGCTATTCTCTCAGATCATCCCACCCTCGCCTTATCGCAGAGTCCGAAAGTCTGTCCTATACATCTATGTCTTTTTCTGTCCTGCATATAGGGTTATCGTTACCATCTTTTTAAATTCCATATATATGTGTTAGTATACTGTATTGGTGTTTATATTTCTGGCTTACTTCACTCTGTATAATGGGCTCCAGTTTCATCCATCTCATTAGAACTGATTCAAATGTATTCTTTTTAATGGCTGAGTAATATTCCATTGTGTATATGTACCATAGCTTTCTTATCCATTCGTCTGCTGATGGGCATTTAGGTTGCTTCCATGTCCTGGCTATTACAAACAGTGCTGCGATGAGCACTGGGGTACACGTGTCTCTTTCAGATCTGGTTTCCTTGGTGTGTATGCCCAGGAGTGGGATTGCTGTGACCATAGCACTTTCAATAAAGCATTTATATACACTTTCAGTGATAATTGTTTAGGTGTAATCATTTTAGTGCTTGTATATAACATTGTGGTTTTAATTTTCATTTCTCTATGATCAGTGAAATTTACCGTATTTTCATGTTTACTACCATTCAGATATCCTCTTTCGAAAGATCTTTTCTATTCAAAATGTTTTCTTATTTTTCCTATTGTTTCTGACTTTTTCTCACTAGTATTAGTTCTTTTTGTATTCTAAATACATAAATTAGAATTTATGTATTTTAAATTCTTTCAGTTCAGTTGCTCAGTTGTGTTCAACTCTTTGCAACCCCATGAACCACAGCACACCAGGCCTCCCTGTCCATCACCAATTCCCAGAGTTTACTCAAATTCATGTCCATTGAGTCAGTAATGCCATCCAACCATCTCATCCTCTGTTGTCCCCTTTCTTCCCACCTTCAATCTTTCCCAGCATCAGGCTCTTTTCAATGAGTTAGTTCTTCACACCAGGTGGCCAAAGTATTGGAGTTTCAGCTTCAACATCAGTCCTTCCAATGAACATCCAGGACTGATCTCCTTTAGGATGGACTGGTTGAATCTCCTTGAGGTCCAAGGGACTCTCAAGAGTCTTCTCCAACACCACAGTTCAAAAAGTATCAATTCTTTGGCACTCAGCTTTCTTTATAGTCCAACTCTCCCACCCATATATGACTACTGGAAAAAACCATAGCCTTGATTAGATGGACCTCTGTTGGCAAAGTAATGTCTCTCTTTTTTAATATGCTGTCTAGGCTGGTCATAACTTTTCTTACAAGGAGTAAGCGTCTTTTAATTTCATGGCTGCAGTCACCATCTGCAGTGATTTTGGAGCCCAAAAAAATAAAGTCAGCCACTGTTTCCCCATCTATTTGCCATGAAGGGATGCAGCTGGATGCCATGATCTTAGTTTTCTGAATGTTGAGCTTTAAACCAACTTCTTCACTCTCCTCTTTCACTTTCATCAAGAGACTCTTTAGTTCTTCACTTTCTGCTCTAAGGGTGGTATCATCTGCATATCTGAGGTTATTGATATTTCTCCTGGCAATCTTGATTCTAGCTTGTGCTTCCTCCAGCCCAGCGTTTCTCATGATGTACTCTGCATATAAGTTAAATAAGCAGGGTGACAATATACAACCTTGACATACTCCTTTTCCTATTTGGAACCAGTCTGTTGTTCCATGTCCAGTTCTCACTGTTGCTTCCTGACCTGCATACAGATTTCTCAAGAGGCAGGTCAGGTAGTCTGGTATTCCCATCTCTTTCAGAATTTCCCACAGTTTATTGTGATCCACACAGTCAAAGGCTTTGGCAAAGTCAATAAAGCAGGAATAGATGTTTTCCTGGAACTCTCTTGCTTTTTCAATGATTAAGTAGATGTTGGCAATTTGATCTCTGGTTCCTCTGCCTTTTCTAAAACTAACTTGAACATCTGGAAGTTCACGGTTCACGTATTGCTGTAGCCTGGCTTGGAGAATTTTGAGCATTACTTTGTATTCTAAATATTCATCTGACAGCTGTACTGCAAATAGCTTCTCCCACTCTGTAGCCTGACTTTTTTACTCGAGCTCTCACTTATGCCTTTTGATGAACAACAACAAAAAGTCTTTATTTCAATTTAGCACAGTTTACCAATTTTTTTCTTTATGGTAAATGCTTTTTGATGTACAAATCTCTGCCCAACAATGTTAAAGAAGACATTCTCCAAACTTTTCTTTTGAAAAGTTTATTTTTTATATTTGGATCTATGATTTTTATAGAATTAACTATTGTGTGATATATTCTGGCTCCTTAAGTAAAATTACAGTTGTTCTTAAACACTTATTAGGGAAGAAAAGTCTCTGTTGCTCTTTTAGGCCATTTATGCAAATTCTTGGCTTTTGGCACCTCTCTCTAGGTCTTCTAATGAACAGTTCCACTGTAGTCTTTTTTTCCTTTCTGACTTTCATCTTGTTAACTATAGACATGGACTAAAAATTACACTGTTGATTTTGAGGGAGTCTCCATTCCCTTCACACAATGTAATGAACTACACTTGCACCAGACTTGATTAACTGACAAAATGTTAAAAATGCACTGCTTACTCATTTTAACAGTATTAATGATAACATCTATTTGTTACCAATGGTACTGGATGATTTTCCATTTATACTTTCAACATTCAAAGTTACATTTTCTGTTCCCAACTATTAATTATCTATATAGCTAAACTTCTTGGTCTTTTTGTTGCAATGAGGAGATAGTTAACACAGAGCACATTCTACTACATATGATCATTTAAAATATAATTATGGGTGGTAGGCAGTAAAGTCTTTTTTTCTTTTAAAAGCCATCATCTGATGGGTATGGGTAGATCTAGTATCCAACTGATAAACTTTAAAATATTTCATATACTATAAAGTATCAGGCAAATGTTAGGTTAATATTTCTAACACCTGAGTTCTTTTGTAAACCTAATTTGTCTAAGTCAAAAAATATCTCTTCTCAGCAAAAGCCACTAGGATATTTCTGTTAACATTTCTCAGAAAGATTTCAAATATACCATGAATTATTAACTAACTGATAAGTATTAACAAGTCAGAAAACATGACTTATCATGCTACTATTTTGAGAAGGTTTAACACTGCATAAAAAAGAAATGATTACTAGCCACACTCATAGTTACTTATTCTTCATCAAATACACCAGACAGAAAGTAAAATTACTAACAAGCATTTCTTTTATAAAGACTCTGTAGAAAAGCTAAATAAAAGCTTAATAAATTTTTCAACTGATTTTTAAAATATTTAGTAACTAAAGGAAAATGAATACCTGATCTCCAACTGTCTTCAACTACATGCTGAATAAGACCTCCAAGGAAAGGAACTCGAACCATTTCTAAATGTTCCAAGTTGCGGGCAGAGGCTAAGCCTGTTACTAAAGGGACATATTTCAAGGAGTTTGTGGGTCCTGAAGAAAAACAATTTCAATGGAACAATGTAAATTGCCAAGATGATTTTTCAAATCAGCAACTGAAATGAATAACTTATAAATTCTATGTCTGAAAATGATAGCTGAATGGCTGGCTCTCGACAATTTATCACTGGAAACAAAACCATTAGTAAGTCAACCACATACTGATTCAGCATAAGGATTTTTCAGTAACATTAGAGATTTAGTATTTTTTTTTAATTCCCTGGAGTCAATAGTTTTGAGCTGAAAATAACTGAGGGGGAAAATGCAGGTTGAAAATATCATCCTTCAATAAAGTAAACAGCTCAATGACTTAAACATCTCTCTATGTGACCAGTATTATATTAGGTGTTATGGAAGATCACAAGATAGGATCCTATCCATCAAAGAGTTTGCAACTGACATGGACATAACATATGAATAATTATAAAAAGATAAAAAGGCAGAACACATCAAGAACAAAAATCAAATCTGATGTACTGCATAAAAAAGAGAAGTCAGTCAGTCAATGAGGCAAAGCTTGCATAAAAGATGCATACAAGTAAAGAGGAAAAAGGAAGTGTTAACCTCAGGACAAGAAAACAAGAATAAGAATAGACACTCAAGTGAGAGCTAGTACGGTTGTTTGGGAACAGTGAGTAGACAGGCCTGACAATAAAAGGGGTACTTTGGAAAGGACTCTGAAATAAGGTATCAAGAACAGCTCTGGTTATGAACTCTGAAGCAGAACAGTTCCCACCTGACACACTAGGACAGCAGAAATACTGAAGGTTTTGGAACAAAAATGTAGTATCGTAAAAGCAGTGTTTTATGCTTTACAGTATATTAAGTCAGACAACATTTACATGCAAAAAGATCAAGAGACCAGAGACAAAGAAAGTATACAAAAATTTATTAAAACAAACCTATATAAAAAGTGCCCATAAGATATAGGGAGAGACATTTTGACACTTTGTCTGCTAAGGGTCAAAGGCAAGTCATATGTCTACTGTCTTTAAAACAAAAAAAGTACATTTACCTACATAAGGTAAGTTACAAACATAAATAGTGACAGCATAATATAATTTCACTTACAACTGTATCGTATCTATGCAGTTTGCTTTAGGATATTTTTAGAATGGTATATGTATATTTCCACTACAACTATAGACCCTTACCTGCACAGTTCCTCATGACAAAAGTTCGTAAACTGATGCAAAGAAAATCTTTGAACGGCTGTGGTTTAGTGAGTCTTACCCACTTCATGTAAAGGTGCCTTAGCATTGGGATACAAGGAATTTCAGGAACATTCACCCCTAAAGCATATACACAAAAAAAGAAAAAAACAAGAAAACCACTAAAAGACACTGTTTGCTGTGTACAGGTTCAACAGTCTATTTTTCAAGTTGACAATATATCCTTCCTGGATATTTTCATCAAAACAAATTACCTAGTTAGCACCTATGAAGATAAGCTTATATAAAACAGGCTTGTAAAGAACAATTTAAACAAACAATAAACAGACTACTTTGTTAATTTCTTTAGAAAAGGCAAATGGAAAGATGGGATTTAAAAAGTATTTCAACATTTTAAACACACAAGCTTTTCTCTTAACTCTGTAACTCTTCACGAGTTACCAGGAATCATATTTGCAGAGGACCACTGCTGGAAGAAAGGGGATGTACAGTAGGAGGATAAGTCAAGAGATACGGAAGAAGAGAGAACATGGGTAACTTGAAAATTCTTATGGAAGGAAGCAGTTTGAGGAACTTGCCCAAAAGCCTAAACACTGTAGATTAGGGAACAGCAAAGAAGTGACAAATTCTCAGAAAGAAATTCAAGGATCCAGAGTGATGACATTTAGAAAGCAACAGCTGGCAAAATCAGTTTAATGTAATTTTTAACCTTGAGTCAGTAGAAGCCCTGCTAGCAACAGCAACTAGAGAAAGCAAATTGGGAATACTTAAATCGGTGGTTCTTTGAAAGCTAAATTTATGCACATTCTACTATAAGCATTACTCCTTAACCTGGTCCACTCGAAAAAGCATAGCTAGCTTTAGCTTTGTACTATGAGTAAACACTGTACTCACTGGGGATTAGTCCAAAGGAAGAAAAGCAGAAGTAAGGTACAGATTAAGACTCAAGATGCAAAACTCACAAAGATATATTTAGCATCTACCATCATGGTGGCAGTTCTGATTAGGAAACCCAAGGGCAGCAAGGGTGAGACAGACCCAGGCAAGACAGTTATATTCTATGCCCAATCCACATTTTATCCCAAATCCATTCTATAAACAAAGGACACAATTACCTGTCTTCCCCAGCATGTTCATTAATTTACTATACACGTTTGTATCACCATCACAGTGTTAAACTGTTGAATTAATCAAATGAATTAATGCATTTCAACAAAATTTACCAAGTACTTATTTATATTTGCAATGAACTGTGACAGGCATCATGGAAAATATAAAGATATAACCACAGTCTCTGACTTTAGAGAGCTTATAAACTTCAGATATTATAGAATTCCTTTATTATCTAAAAATCCAAATTCAAACTAGATATCCAAGTTTCATCAGAACCACCCCTTCATCTTGTAGAGGAAGGACTGCTAGAGAGCTTTGCATGTCTCCCATGACTGCATATCTAAGTAGTTTTTAAGACCTACTCCTTATCGTTCCTGCTGCTCTCCCTTCCCAGTCTCAGAAATATCCAGTTCTTCAGGACCATCCCCAATATCTGGAAGAATGCTTGGAACACAGCAGATACTCAATATGTACAAGCTAAATAAAACACTTAATCAGTATTAAAGGTCAGACTATAGTAACAGGAGTCCAGCCCACCACCCTGAAATTCCTTTCAGCAATCTACGCCAAAGACGACAAATTAAATTTGAGAAAATGTCTGTCCTTATCATTTACTTAGGTTTGAAATTATTGGGATACAATTTCAGAGAATATTTAGATGGAGAATGCACACTGTGATCACTGCAAATAAGGTGTCTTTGGAAAAAGACCACTTCCTCCTCATTTCTCAGGGAAAAAGAGAAGTGGCAGAGTTTTCCAGAAGCTCTGGGTTGAAGAAATGGGGGAGTTTTCTGCTTGGAGAAGATACAAGTAAACTTTTTTTATCTAAAATTTTTTATTCTGTCATGTTCTATAACTGAAGAGGATAATAAAGTAGCCACTAGCTACATGTGGCTATCTGATAAACTACAATAAAATTAAAAAATTCAGTTTTTCTGTTTCACTGGCCACAGTGGGTACCATATGTGATAGTACAAATATAGGACATTTCCATCATCACAGTAAGTTGTACTGGAGAACTATTCTCTAAACTCTCCTCTAAAGGGTAGTGAAGTTGCTCGGTCGTGTCCGACTCTTTGCAACCCCGTGGACTGTAGCCTACCAGGTTCCTCCGTCCATGGGATTCTCCAGGCAAGAATACTGGAGTGGGTTGCCATTTCCTTCTCCAGGGGATCTTCCCGACCCAGGGATCGAACCTGGGTCTCCTGCATTGCAGGCAGATGCTTTACCCTCTGAGCCACCAGGGAAGCCCCCTAAAGGGTAGAGCTAGGAGCAAAAGGTGGGTATCAGAAAACAGGGGCAAGATTCCAGCTCATTCAAAAAATCAAAAACACAAAAAGCCCAACAACTTTCCAAATTACTCAAATTGCCTATTAAAATGAAAACAGACTGATTTTGAAATAGTAGTTTTCTCATCTACCCACCAGGCCTCTGGCCCCAAAGGCTCTTTAGTGGGAAATCTAAATTTTTATGCAAGTCTCAGAAGCATTTCTTTTTCTTTTTCATATATGTACTTTAAAATAAAAATATTTAATTAAAAATTAAATTTTTAATTGGAGGATCACTGCTTTACAATATTGTGTTTCTGCCACACATCAACATGAATCAGCCAAAGGTATACATATGTCCCGTCCTTCTTGAACCTCCCTCCCACCACCCACCCCATCCTACCCCTCTCGGTTGCCATCAGCAAAGCTATTTCTAAAATCCCCATTATTCCCTTTCCACTAATATTCAGCTGTATGGCATTTAAAGGAGTCACAAGTAACCCAAGAAACATGTACTCACCAACTAAATGTAAAGTTTGAATTTTGGCTCCTATAGGAATTTTCAGTTTATTTTCAGGAGGAATTGGAAATGCTCCATTACGGTTACGAAATTTCCCCAAAATATGAACATGTGGCATGTATGTCCAAATGGATTCTACTAATTCCAAGTGAGAGGTTTCCACACCCTACAAAATAATGCCAAAGCAAGCATAAGAAAGGCTTTTACTTAGCATCCAAAGCTTCTATTTCTATATCATAAGATCTTAAGTATGCAGTGGAACTTAAAAGTTTGTTGTGAATGAATTTGGCATGAACATGTTTTATCATTCTTTTAATTTAGTGCTTCATTAATCAGTTGATGTCAAATGTTCAACCAAGTGCACTCACCACTAAGTTTGGGCACGCCTGCAAAGCTTCCAGAACTCCTGGAATGCTAAAAGCCTCATGGCCCCGTACCCTTCGCCTCTCAAGGTATCGAGGGTGAAGGCCATATAGCTGTTCAACATCTGGCATCTTCTTTAGTAGTGTCAGAAAACTGGAATCTGTGAAGCCTAAGAAGTTCACAAGTATTTAGAGCCAAGTTTATCGTCACTTGTTATTTTTATCAAATGTTAACAACAAAAAGATATTATTTTTAAATTTTCATAAGGCTAACATTACAGCTGAACAAATGGTTGAACAGAAAATATTTCCCTTAGGAACAGAAAATGTATTAGAAACACCACCTATTCTGAGTTGATACTTCACAGTTGAGGCTTTTTATTATTTTGTTGCTGTTGTTGCTGCTGCTTTTAAGGAACAGACCTCTTCAACTAGGAACACCATACTTTCAACCCAGATGACTTAAGACCTCGTGGTGAGGAAGGACAACCTATCTGGCCACCACTCTCCTTCCCCAAAGGTACTTTCTGGTCCATAAAACCTTTATGCTCTATAGAGCACACAACCAAAAAAATAAGTAAGACAGGATCCCCATTTTCAGGAAGCTCACAGTTCTAACCAAAATCCCATCTCAAACTGGGTTCTCTTAGGTACCCATGTCACAACAATTACTCTATTCTGTGTTTAACATCACTCCCAGGATATTTTAGACAATTCATTCTTTTGAACAAGACAGGTGCAAGTTAGCTAAGAACATAAACGATCCAAACTATGAGGATGCTGAGCTGACAGAAAACTATTTATCTCGAAGGCCAGTTGTGCTCCATTGTGGGAATCCACCGTATGGGAAGAGAGAAATACTTCCACAGTACAAGCTGCCAGTGCTTGGAAAGTAAAGAGATAAGTATTTTAATTTTTGTTTTTAATGGAGGCCATCAGTAAGGCAACTGTTTATTCACTAATAATAAATAAAAATAATAATTTTCAAGAATAAAAGTTCCAAACCATTAAGTCTTACCACAGTTTTCAAAAGTTGTTCTAATTGTACAGGGCTAGTCAAGATGCTGTATAAACTCCAAATTCACAAATAATGAAGAGTAAGAAGGGACCCTGGAGATTACCTGGTCTCTCTAATTAAAACAACAGTCCTCATTATTGTTCTGTATAGTAACTGTACTGACTAAGCCATTCAATGTGTTAATCATTTCACATATCTCTCACAACCCAATGAAAAAGTTTATCACTCCATTAAAAAAAATAAAAAATGAACATTACCTTTGCCAATGGCCATCCTCTTTTGTTGTATATTACACATTGCCTCCCACCCAAGAATGGGTAAAGTTCCACCTTTACACAGATGGTGGGAGAGTCCAAGGATATCACATAGGTAAATCATAAAATGCTATATAAAAATCTTATTTAGCATTATTATATAGAGAATCAGGGTATAAACTCCAGAGACTAGACCCAAGTGGCACTAGCGAAGCAGGGTTAGTGAGATCTTATTCTAGACTTTTGATTTCACTTTTTTACATTTGTTACACTGATGGGAAGCCTTGGGCTCACAGGTATTTATCACAGTCTAAAGGAAGCCAGCAATGTAAAAACACATTCTTCTCTGGTTTGATAAGGGGCAGAGATTTGCATTTTAAGATTGCACCACATGGGTGCTCTGCTATCCTGTCTCGTTAGTGCATTAACTCCATCTCCACAATTCCTACTGGCCTAACCTCTGTTAAAGCAAACCTAATAAAACAAATAACAGTCCTTTTCACATTGCCCCTAATTTTTTCTTTTCTCTATCTCTGCAATATGATAAATCCTCTTCCCTTACAACAGTTTCTTTAAAGTATCTGAAGACAAATATCACACCAAGCTAGGTTCTAGCCTCAAGTCTTTGTGATGGTCTTCAAAAAAAAGATATAGTGATAACTCTGATCAAGTGACAAAGTTATCAGCTGACTGATGAACTCTTAAAAGGCTATGTAGCAACCCAAACTGTACATCATCTCAATATTTCAGAGGTAGCCTGTTCTGTTTCTCATAACAGAACAGAGCAAGACAAAAATCTCCTCAGCCCTTCACTTCCATTAAGCTCCCCACCACTCCACTTTGCCCAGCACCATGGCTTCATCACATTTTCAAAATATCAGGATATGAATACTGTTGATGAAAGGTAGTTTAAAAAGACATTCAAAATTGCTAAGCATTAAAGTGAAGTAATTAAAGGACCACTGTTAACTGAAAAGAAGCCTGATTAGCCCTTCATATTAATTCTTCCCTTTTAGGTGTGCTCTGCTTAACTAAAGTCATTGACTTTTTCCAGTGGTCTCTTTACCTGAGGTCCATTTGTTATGGTTAGGCTACAAACTTTTTTGAGTTCTTCATGTGCAAGGCCAATGCATAATTTCAGAAAATCCCAACACTTAGTACATACAGACCTTCTAAAAGTGTTAAGACTATCCCAAAGCAACAAGCAATTTTTGATGGGAACACCATTATTAGTTTCCAGTGGGGTTCCACTGTACATTACAGGCTAAATTTACTTACCACTTGGCATGTATTCCCACCATCGCCCTGCACAGAGATCTACAACCCTCACAACTCTCAGATATAGGGTGACTGCTTCCTTTAGCTTCCGGGAAAGACACTCCATACACATGATATCCTGCAGGGGGAGGTACCTTTGTAAGAGAAAGAAACCCAGATTTATCAAGTGGGTAATTACTTCATCTAACTGACAGGTTATTTTTTTCCTTCCTCCATTCTCCTGCCTCTTAAGTAAAATAAGACCCTAGGAATATTCACCAGATTTTAAGATTAATATAAACACATAGGATTTTACTAAAAAAAAAAAAAAAAAATCAGCAAATACTTAAGCATCCACAGAAAGTGTAGAGCTCCCTCCATATAGCATTGTATAAATCCTGCCTTTCTCCTTATAAGAACAAAGAAAATCTAAAAGAAAAAAAAAGTCAGTATATTTCAAGGTATGGTGATATGGGAATGTAAAAAAGATTAGAGAGAAATGATTAATTTAAATCTAACCTATATTATTTTATAATTTTATAGAATCCATTTCCTAACGTGGCTAAAAACATTCCTCTCTGCTCTCTGCTCCACCACAAAGAATCTCTATTTTCTTCATCAACAGATCTGTATACTAAGTTTATGGTGTATCTTTTCCCCTAGATCTTTTACCTTTTAATCACATATTCTTTAAGTACTGTGTAAGCATAAACTCATCTGAATTACAATTTTCTTTTTCCAACCTCCCCTGTTATCTCTTCCTTCATGAAACTTTTCAACTAACCTCTACTTTTGTTCTGTTTCCAGTAATACTATTATATATTTTGAAAGATCAGAAAAATCTCATCTCTTTCTCAACAGACCTAGGTTAATTTAAGGGAAAAGAAAAAAGGCAAAGCTCCACTTTATTGACCCGGTGTTGTATCACAGACACTGTACTACAGCCACTGTTTCATTTCACAATTTAGTAAGCTAGATTCTTTTCCTGTTTGCAACACAGCCATCCGCAATCCTTTTTCTTTCCTTCTCTGTTCTGCTGTGTTCCCCAGCCCCCAACCCATCCCTTTATGAATTGACTGGGCAGTGGAAGGCATGGCAAAAGCTTTATGCTATTGCTAATCCCCTAGCTGAATAAATTCTTTAACATCTCTTACGTGTTCCCTTAACCCTACCTACACTTCTCTGAATGATTCCTTCATTATCTTCAAATTCCACCCAAGTATACCTTGCTTTCTGCTAAAACTCTCATTGATATAGTAGGTGCTATCATTGTTCCACTTTACAAGTAGTGAAATTCATCAAAAAGTTAACCAGAAAAAAAAGTCAACAGTTAGATAAGAGAGAGGAAGAGCATGGATGTCTATTTCCTAAAAACTAAGCTAATTCTAAAGGAAAGTCCAAGTATGCCTGCTGAATATTTCTCTGCTCTATTTTTCCCCCCCTATATCTGGTCCTTTGCTTTCTCCTTTGTAACTATTTAAATAAAGCAAATAAAGTCAAATTTTCTACAAAAAAAAAAAAATGTCAACTTAATCTACAGTTTCTATTTCTCATATATGAGGATAATTTTCAGAAACTATATTACTATGCATTTTATAAACAATGAAAAATTGAATTTGTTTTCTAAATCAAGTTTTGCCACTAAAACTTCCCTCACATATCATTAATTTTTAACCAAAGTATTTGCCTTAGTTAATATTATTTAATATTACACTCCCTTGAAATAGAAACATTAGTAATATTATGACGATTAGATAAACAATGTATTTTTACTCCACAGATAAATGGTCAAAAAGCTGGAGTTCAAAAGACAGATCAAACATGTTTTAGAAAAGATGTGTTTAACACGGCAGGGACAGCAAAGATTGGGTTTCTTTTAAGGAAACCACAATTTTTTCTTATTTCATGAAAATATGCTAAACAATTACTACAGGGCTACAAAAAGAATCTTCAAATAAAAACTTTAGAGCCTAAAAAATAAATGTTTATTTTTAGAATAAACATCTCAGACCAAATTCAAGCACCCAGCTTAGTTCACAGTTATCATTACATTCTGCCAATCTGCTGCATGTTTTTTTCATAAAAAGTAGGGTACGTCCTTCTACTTGATTCCACTCCTTCTACTGCCATATTCTGTTTGAACTGCAAAATCAAATCCACTATCAATTTAAAATATGATCAAATTTGTTCATAATATGTCCTACCATTAGTCAACAAACAACAAACACAAATCCCTAGAAACCATTTTACCTATGCTCTCCTCTAGAATTCTAATAGCTTCATTGTTTAATTCACTGAAACATTTAGAATACAGTTGTCAGCATGTACACCCGTGACTGATTTCATGTCAATGTATGGCAAAAACCACCACAATATTATAAAGTAATTAGCTTCCAATTAAAATAAATTAAAAAAAAAAAAGAATACAGTTGTCAGAAATGAGAGATAAGAACATACTTCATTATTTTCTTCAAATAGTTTTTAGGCTGTGACATTATCACTGAATAATCCACTCAGCTTTTCTTCACTGATGTGAATACCTAGTCTGTCATAAACCAGATCCCCACATATATTTGAATCCACAAATGGAGCCTATATATGGAGTCTGTTTTACCCAACTGGCTGGCTATCTTCTCCCATAACAAATCTTTAATTATTTTATACTTTAGAATGCATTTGAACATCTGCTAGGGTCAGACTATCTCTGGAAAATTTTGGCTACAGGAGTTTTCCTGCCAGGTTAACTTTAGTATCATCTTGTTTAAAAAAAAAAAAAAAAAAAGGTCTGTTAATTGGGCCTTCTATTACCAGACAGAACTGAACAAAAACTACACTGACAGAATAACAAACTGCAGAAGATAAAGACTGAGACAAATTTATACTGAAAAAAAAAATACAGTGCCTATGGTTCCCCAAAGTAACTCTATCATTATTTTATATAATCTGCAAGTATTTAATAATTTTTTAAAAATTGAAAACCTTTCTAGGAACTTCATATGTGGAAATTTCCCCTAAGTAAATAATCTAAAATTATGGAAAATTCAAATGTTTACAGAGGTTAATTGCATTATTTAAGAGAAAAATTAGAAGTAATCCAGATGAAATAGAAGAATAAAGGTAATTACATCATAGTCAGTGGGACAGAAGGCAGTGACTAAAATGATAAAGACCATGTAGTAATATGAAAAAAGGCACAACACAGTCATAATCACTAATGCTTGCAAGTATTTGTGTCATGCAGTGTATAAAGTGCTTTAAAAGAATTATCTCAGATGGGAGGGAGGTTAAAGAGGGAGGGGACATATGTATATCTATGGTTGATTCATGTTGATGTTTGACAGAAAACAACAAAATTCTGTAAAGCAATTATCCTTCAATTAAAAAAATACATAAATTAAAAAAATAATTATCTCACTGAATCCTCATAATAACATTTTTATATCTATCATTGGTCCACAGCTAGCAAATGAGACTCAAGAGTCAAACTCTGGTCTCTCATTTCAGAGACAAAGTATGTTAAGATGTGTTTATCTGAGTGATAATGAAAGACGAGAGCAGGAGAAATTATAATGACAGAGTTTTTTGGTTGTCTTTTTGGATTTGTTTCTGGTTTTTGTAACAGTTGTTAAGTACAGTTTAGATAAAAATATAATTTTTAAAAAAGGTTTTGAAAATAATTTGTCAAAATGATCTTAATGTGTACACTGCATATGGTGGTTATTATTTCACAATACTTTTTTTTCCATTTACTTACATATATGTGCACACTGAGCAAAATGTTTCTTACTGTGGACTGTAATCAGAAAGTCAGAAACACTGTCTTATGCTGTACACAAATGGTACTGTAACAATAAAAGTCAACAAATCTATCAGTCAATAAGAATTCTAAGCAGCCTGGAATGTTAACAATCTAGACAATGTCTGCTCAACAGAACTTTCTGCAACAGAGGAAAGTTCTTCACTGTCTGTGCCATCCTATACAGTAGCCACCAGCCATACCAGATCTTTAATTTAAACATCACAGCCAGTTAGTGACTATCATTCTGGACAGACAGCTCTAGGATTTGCTTCTACTTATAAATTCCAGGTAGGTGAAAATCAACCAAACAAAACCTTACCTAAAAATATGGCAAAGCACTTCATGTGAAAGTTGATTCATATAGTCCTTTGTTTCATCAGATACTGCTTCCTCAGGAATTTCATTATTCATGAGACACGTTTTAACACTTTTCTTTCGTGGACCCATTGCTGTGTTATCTCCAGGATCAAAGAGCAAATCTCCCCTCTTGGTTACTTGACTTCAAAGCACCTGAAAGCAACCAGTGATTAGAGGAGACTAAAACATGCCAAACCCAGACAGAAATTATCCTTACAAAACAAAGGTAAAACAATGTCTATTCTAAAATACAGACACACAACAGTAGTGCTATTACAATGATACAGGCTACATTCAAATTAACAAAAATATTACACAAAAGGCACAGAATACCTTTTTTCTGAAGAGAAGTAAAGGTAAAAACTAATTATTTAGAATGAGCAAAATCCAAAGAATCGGGAGGCCTGAATTCTATTTGTACTGTTGCTTCCTAGTTAATTCACTCAATTTCTCCTCACGTGTAAGGTAAGATCATTAAACTAGATACAGGTGCTTATGATTCTAGGATTGCCTTTAACACAGTAGAAAGCAGAAGACTCCTAGATTCTAGTCCTGGGTCAGCCCCAGATTACTTCTATGAACTTGAACCACCGTTTAAATTCTTCATTTTTTTTTTTTAAGTGAGGGGATCTGATTCTACCAGTGGGTCATATATCCCTTTAAGAATTTGATTAAAAAATAATAATAATAACCTTTTCCACAAAAAACAAAAACCAAAAAAACTGCTAAATTTTATAAGCAACTTCAGAAGAATAAAACTACCCTTCTCCCTCTCTCCCTCCCATAAATATTAAGGAGCAGAAGTTAATTCACTTTTGTATTAAATGTATGTATGGTTTGTTTGTTTGAGGGAAGAAGGAGGGGATGGGAGGGAGAAAGGAGGAAGAACTGAGTGAGGGGAAAAGAGAACAGGAAGAACGGAGTGAGGGAAAAAGAGATAAAAGTCAGATGAGCAAACTTCCGCCTAGAGGTTTATTTTGTAGGTCAGGTTAAGAGGGAACTATGTGAAAACAGTGTCATTTATTTTTTGTTTTATAAAATCTTTATTATTTTCTGATTATAAAGTTACTGTATGCTCATTATAGAAAGTCTGTAAAGTATAGAAAAGTATAAAGATGTAGAGAAGTTATACCACTCAAGGCAACTGGTGTATTTCCTTCTAATCATTTTTCTGTGCATATTTTAACCTAGTTGAGCTCACATATATATATACAGTTTTACCTGTTCATGTAAAATAGTCACTCAACATGAGAAATTTTCCTGTGCTATTAAAATACTATTTTTTAGTAACTGAGTTTGAATAGAAAGTGAATATAGCAAAATTTACTGAACTGTTCTTCTATTATTAAATATTGACTATGCTGTGCTCAGTCATGTCCATGGAGTCTCTTTTGTGACCCCCATGAACTGCAGCCCACCAGACTTCTTAGTCCATGGGACCCCCCAGACAAGAATAACAGTATCATTTAAATAGTATTATCAATTATCTCTGGTAAAATTCTGAAAAATTAAGTGGACTCAAAGTGAGAGAACTCTAGAGTTCAGAGCTTAATCATGATACAGTGATGAAAAGAACTGCTGCTGCAAATCTGTCAGTCTCTCATTTACAGTGTTTGCTCCCTTTTATGCACCAGTGTTTTTTCTTAATTATATTGGCACTACCAAAAGTTTCTAAAGTGGACCACATGCTTCCATTTTCTTACAGAGATGAGTCAATAAAAGCATCACCTTTTCGTGATGACCTGAAGTGATCAATATGAATATACATTATATCCTGTAATATATTCTCAGGGATTAGTGAACTATAAGTTCCTGGGGCTCCTTTGCTTCAGCAGATAGGAGAAAACTACAAGGCTAAGTGAATTCTTATATTTTTTTGTGTGCGTGTGTGTGTGTGTGCGCTCTGGTCTCTTCTTTCACTGAATGGTTATGCACTGTGAATTATGGCAGGTGTCAGCATGCTTGCTTCTCTCTGCACTCCACCCACACACACACACAAACCTCTTAACTTGCTGCTTCTAATCAGCTATGGCCTGGAAAACCAAAGAAATAAATTTTTAGAATTGTGGGTGGATTAATATCAACATGCACTTAGTACTATGGTTTGAAGGAATTCTACACAGTAGATAAATGAGCGACAGTTCACTGAATTTGTTTTTAAAGAAATATATAGACATGATAAAAAAAAAAAGAAATATATAGACATGATCAAACAGAAACCAAATCAGCCTACAAGAAATCCTAGTTTCCAGAGGATAAAATCTTTCCAATCTGATCAAGTACTTTTCCAATCTCATCTTTCAATTTTTACCACTTGCTCATTCCAGCCACATCAATCTCAGTTCATGCATTTATTTAACATTCATCTTTTATTCCTAACAAGTTACTAACTCTGGCTAGAAAGTCCTTCCTTTCCCTTTCTTTTTCTCTTTGCTACAAAAGCATTATTCTGCCTTCAATATATAGTTTAAGGTTCTCTGAGAAAATGTCTCCTACTAAACTTCTCTTCTGAGGTCCCTGTAATATACTTCACTAACACATGCTTCTCCCATAGCAACTTGGATAGTATTTTATTGATTATGGCTCTGCCAGGAAAAGAATCTCAATCTCTGGCCACTGGGTGATGACAAGTCCTCATTCATAGCAAATCATACATCTGATGTGTAACCATCCATCAGTCTTGCCATTCTTCCATATGTGTTCAGCAGAAAGGCAGCTAAGCACCATTTCATGCTCCTATGAGTATTCTATTTGCCACCACAGCACTCAATGATCTCAGCAACAAGCCAGTAACCCTGGCATAAATATAATCACACTCTAATAAAAACACAAAACAAATAGCTACCCTGAGGCATTCAAATACGTTGACAAGACTATTAATCAGTACAGACCAATCCAACCATGGATTAATTCTCCAGTTATGTTATTTAGCACATGCGTCACCCTTTACACCCTCACCTTTGCTAACTCTAACCATTATGGATACCATGTTCTTGACCTCATCCTTTAAGTAAAAATCTTTCTTGGCCCTTCATCCTCCTTTCACTAAGTGGTGTAGATCTGCTACTCTCATCTTATGATTCCATCTTTTATCGCTCCTTATTTTGCAATACTGCGGTTTTGTGTGAATCAGATTTAGTAGCTCCAGTAAACAACACACACTTGAAATTTTAAACAAATAGATTGCTCCTTAAATATCACAGAGTTTATATAATTTCCCTTGTTTAGAACTCAGGAAAATATTTACTCACAGATATGACATTATACAACATTATAGAGAGGTCAGGTTAGGTCTCCAGCAAACCCACAAAAATCCATTTAACCTACTATGCATTAAGACTAACTACCAAAGAGCCTAAGTTAGCAGGACTGTAACAAAACTAGGTCAAATTGTATATATAGTTCCCATATCAAGTCTAGAATTGAAAACTTGGTCACAGAGCTACTTATTTGTCAGCAAGTGGAGTAGTGAGCCTTCAGTAGGGAAGGGACTCGTGGAGATGAACAGTGGGGTAAAGGGTAAGACTACCATCTTCCACCTAGGGGCTTTAACAGTTCAGGACCCATACCTAGGGGAAATCCCCAACTCCTCTCCAGTCCCACGGTCCTTGGCAGTGTTAAGGACATTAAAGACTTCTTCATGGACTCAATTCCTTTCCCTCACCACCACTCAAACTCTATTAAAAACAAACAATAACCAAAACACCCTATACAACTGTTTCAACTGAAGCTGGCTTCATCATCACTTGAGTGAAATACATGACTAGACTATGCTGAGAGCATTTAATCCACTAAGTACAGAGGCCTGCTATCTCTGTTTGAGAAGAAAACACTATGAAAGACAAAGAGACCTAGTGATGATGAAGTCTCTCTTATATGTGCACTCTCTCTACTGCTTGTCTTTCAGTGGAATAAAGGATAAAAGCAGGTGACAACAGAAAACTATGATGACTAGCCTTCTCTGTCTTGGTTTCCTCCTACCCTTCTCTCCAAAATATTACCACTTGTCACTTGAGAAACTCAGCCAGGTAGGAGAGGTCCAAAGCAGCAGTCAGCTGAAAGGGGAGAAGAGGGAAATTCCAGTTATCAGCAGTGGATAAAGATGACACATAGGAACAAGTTTAGCAGAGGAATTATGGAGGGTAAGGGAGAGGTGAATATAAATAATGACTACAAATATAGAGAGACTATTATTTGCAGCAACGGGTGTTATTTGGGGGGGAGTCCCTGGTGGCACAGTGGTAAAGAATCTACCTGCTAATGCAGGAGACACAAGAGATGCGGGTTTGATCTGTGGGTTGGGAATATCCCCTGGAGTAGGAAATGGCAACCCGCTCCTGTATTCTTGCCTGGAAAATCCCACGGACAGAGGAGTCGGGCGGGCTGCAGTCCACGGGGTCGCATGCAGCCCCCAGGTGAAGAGTCAGTCACAACTGAGTTCTGGAGGCTGAAACTAAACCTCTAGGAAACGTCATTCTGAATGACAAAACTTTCATTTTCAGTTTAAGTTAAAAGGTGAAGGGTCCCTCAGAGATTAGTCACACAGTTCTTAATTTTTTGTGGGTCACAAACCCATTTGGGACTATGACAGTTGTACATCCCCCAAAGAGAAAAACAAAACACTTCCAGGCTCATATACTTTCAGGGGCTTCACAGAGACATGCAAGCTCTTCAACAGGACACTATCCAAATCTGGTTCCTCAATTTTTAGATGGACAAACAGAACCAGAGGGTATAAGTCACTTGCCAAGGGCATATATTAAGCGTCAGTTTATGCCGGGATTCAAATTTTTCAGCCTACACTATACAACCTGTCATCAAGTCAGTCCTCTGCACTTCAGCTGGCTGCCGCATTCCAGAACTATGCCCCAGTGCTAGGAGACGCACTTCTTGATGCTCTGATAAAACTGCTGGTGACCACACCCTCCTTCACAGATTAGAGCCTGTGGTCCATTTAATTTGATTCCCACACAATAGCTTACAGAAGCCCTGGGTCTCTACAGTCATCCTGTAAAGGCTGTTTAACAGACTTTAGCCAAAGGAAGCATCATTTTTGTTCTAGTGGTCCAAGTACATTCTAACTAACAATA